TCTTCCATACAACACTGGAGATCTCTCACCATACCTGGTACCATCATAAGCTCCAAGTTGTTCTGTGTGTGGGTTTAATAAAGAATGTGCACCTGAGTTTCACTCTCTTGCCTTCGGTTTAGACACTCATAACATTTTTTCATTTCAATTTTCAACTGCAGAAGGAAGCTTGACACTAGTTGACAGAAGTTGAGGAAGGATTGCTATTCGGTTATGGTTTACAGCAGCGGTCTCCAGCCTTTTTTTCGGCCCGGACCGGTTTATGCCCGACAATATTTTCACGGACCGCCCTTTAATGTGTCGCGGATAAATACAACAAAATAAAACTAGTACCGTTGCCGAAAAAAAGATTTCTTCATAACACACGTGAAAAGACCCAGGAAAACCGAGTTAACGATAAAAACGATAAGAAAATAACGCTGAAAACCGATAAAAACCCTGAAAACCAGACATTTCAGACCTGAGCCTCAACTCTCGCAGCCCGGCACCAAACGACTCACGGACCGGTACCAGTCCGAGGCCCGGGGGTTGGGACCGCTGGTTTACACTGTTATAGAAACAAGGAGAAAATGGGTTTCAGAACAGCCACTGGACTTGGATAGAGTGTAGGACTGTGTGGTAAATGCTCACGTACTAACTGGACTGGTGTTGTTCTGTGTGTTTGGGACTGCTACATTCTTATATATATTAATTTTAAATAATTTCCCTTTGTGGTGGGGCATGGTCTGCGGTGCCGTGTGGACGCACCTGCTCGGCATCCGCAATCACGCCCGCCGTGTTAAAACACGTTGGTGTGGTTCAAGTGCGGCTGGCAGCCTGTGAGCTGCAGCCGCAGCAAGTAACGATATGTGGTCCCGCCGTGCCTTATTCGCACCACACCCTTTTTCTTTTAGAGAACTGTTTAACCAGTTTTATTACTTTGTCATGTAATCTTTTCATTCAGTGCTACCTTAACTGTATATTTGTTTTTATTTCTGGGGGAATTACATTAATTGTTTCATAGCATTGTCTTTGCTCCCAGTCTGTTCTTTACACTGCTCTCTCCTCCTTACAACTAAAAGTTAATAAATTATGGAGCATTGTCAGGCCCTTTAAATCTAGGTGGCATTGTTGTTAACAGTAATTCAGCCACTTAGCTTGGCTTTGTCTTTACCAGTTGGCCACAGGTACACAAAATTAAGTCACTGCATTCTGTTCATCCTGGTGAATACTGCATGGCTTTAGTGGAGAAAAAGTATTTTAGAGTAAAATTAGAAATTTAGTTTATGTATTTTATTTATTCCAGAACAAATAAGCAGTTTTGTTTTGCCATGGTTCCCCAGGATTTATAAACTTTCACACAGCGATGGCACTCTGATGCCCCTTTGAGGGCCCAGTTATTCTGCGGCCTTTGCTTGTTCACACTGAACTAAAGAAAGCTGTATATAGTAGTGCCACACTGCATGCAAATGGAAACAAGGCCATTTAAAAACCCCGGTGGAGATTATGCTTTGCTGATTACAACACTGTGAGGTTGCAACTTTTTACCCGGATTAATTAAAACATGTGAACACAATTCAATAAAAGTCTTTTTAGGATCACTTTTAATAGCATTTTAATCATGAAAAAATGTAAAAACACGAAGGATTTCAGTTGATTCTTTGTCTGAACAACTGTCAGACGTGATAACATAGATGTGTGACAGAACCAGGCGAGCATGTTGTGGGATTCTTCTTCAACAATTAAGAGCAGAAGCTTAATGAGACTGGATTCACACTTAAATAAAGAATCGTGCACATGTAGATCTGAAAACAACATCTGTTGTTTCATCTGCTCAGTTTAATTGTTTGTTTTTAACTGATTGAAGAGCTGTTATTTACTTTGACTGGCAAAGTTTGAGCTTCAGACAGAAATAATTGTGTAATGGACTGTTCCCATGAAGCGGGGAACACAGCTAGATGATAAGGCCAATCTTTTACACACATACTGAATGAAGGTTCTCTTCAACTTGAATGCAAAATTATTTGCTTCACCTGATGAATTCACCCAAATGACCAAAGACAACTAACAAACATAGCTCTGAAAACAGTTTGGATTTGCAGTTTTCAGAGCTGCCTGATGTCTAAAGAAACATTTTGCAGTTTGTTTGAGATTTTGCTCAGTGTCTTTCTTTTTTCTTTTACCAGGTTTCCTTCCAGCTGCTTGTGGTCACACTTTGGGTAGAAATACATTGACTTTGTTACAGAGCTCGACTGATCTTCATTTTGACAGCAGATATAGGTAACTGTGAAAAGATAACTACTGAGATTGAACGACTGTTCCACAAGGTACACTGCAATTTTAACAAGCCTGCATACTTTGTGCGTGCATCAAGTGGAAAAAGTTTGAAAATAACAATGCATATGACAGGAAAATGGTTTTGTTTGTCACTGACACGTTATGCATAACACATGTTCTCTTGCGGTTGGAATATTAAGGAGAAAGCGCTGTCTGATAACAAACAAACATTTTTGGTTTTGATCAACCACAGTGTGTTTTTGTTGGGTTTTTATAGCATCTATATTTTGCGTCTAAGAAGAAACTAGCAGGAAAAATGTGACACATGTTCAGTCATTTATGTGGACTATAATCACTGATGGGAATTTATACGAATCTAGCGATTGTGATTTCAATATCGATATCACTTATCGACTCGATTCGTTGTTGATTCTCTTATAAATTCTCATTGGGTTTTTAAAGGTCATGTATTACACTGAACGCTTTTCTTTAAAGTAATGCAGTATGTGACTTAGTTATTCACTGGAGACAGTAATTCATTATACTAGTCATTACATTGCTTTTACATCATGTTTCTCTGTAAAATGATATGAAACACACGGTCTCATAATTACCAATTAACAATATAAACCTAGAAGCCCCACACACCAACACAAATTATTAGGACAACCGTGTGATCGTTCTATGAGTATTTGGGTATGAACACAAAGCCGTCAGCACAAAGCAAAGATGAAAACCAACACAAAGAGTGTAAACTCGTCACCACAGTGACTCTACTGTAGAAAAATGAGCAGAGCCTGCAGTCTGACTGCTCATCACCACTTTTATTACCCGGTTACTTAGTGTCAGTATGCTCAGCTTTAACAGCACTCTGGGTTCTTGGCTAGCTTAATACCTTTGTGTTAGCATGTTAGCAGTTGTTTCTGTCCTGGATGAAGTTTGCATTTTACCACTGTGCGCATTCGTTTGGGGAGTAAAATAAATTAAAATATAATAAATAAAAATAAATCATGTCCATATCGACGCAGTAGACCACGGAACCCAAAATGCCGGATTCACAAACAGAGATTTAACTTAGGGCGCAGCTTTATTGCTGGAGAAACTCTTCATAGCAGTAAACGTGACAAAAACAAACCAAAACCACAAATGCAGGACTAAAACCGGAGAACAGGAACCTAGAAACTAAGAATACTCAGGACGCGAAGGGAGGAGACACAGCACAAAGAGGGTATAATGAAACGCAGAGCAGGGGATGACAGAGGACTGAAATACAAGACGGAGTAATCAGGAAATGGGAGGCACAGCTGGTACTAATTACCCAGACGAGACGGGGAACAGAGGCTGAACACAGAGCAGGACTGTCAAAATAAAACAGGAAGCATGCGGCAGACACAGACTAGACACTGAACAGAGGGAACACCGAGTACAAGGACAGGAAGGACATGAGACATGACTGACTGGGGAACAAGAGAACAAACACAAGGGCAGAACTAAACCTAAGAACGAGAAATCACAAACCCAGGAGAACTAGAGCTCTAGAAATGCAAAACAGAAACCAAAACCCTAATATTCATGAACCATGATGAGATCAAAAATAAATGTGCAAAACTCAAAACACTGGGTCACCGACCCAGGACCATGACATGTCACAGGTAAATGGTGTGGCATCTATATAAAACTCTTCTAGTGTAGACTGACTTACGTAGTCTGTTAAACACAAAAATGCACACTTTGAGTAGGGATGGGTACTGATAAGATTTTCACGATTCCGATTCCATTTTCGATTCTGTTTAATGATTCGATTCTTTATCGATTCTTTTTAAAAAAGGAGAACACTAAGGTCGATTAGCTTAGAACTTTCTTTTATATCTTCTCTTTGAACAAGATAGAAAGTTGCCCTGCAAGTTGCCCTGTTGTCATCTGTTCTCGTAAAGTATAACCAAACTTTGGAGCGTTTGAGCTGCTTAGTCGCCGTGTTTCCTGCCAGGTAAATGACGCTCCGCAACGTGGTGACGTCATTCGGGGCGATTGGAATCGATAAGGGAATCGTTTGCAAATATGGCAAACAATTCCAAGGAATTGAAACAGTGGGAACCGGTTCTCAACAAGAACCGGTTTTCGATACCCATCCCTAGGTGTGAGCTAGGTTGTTTACAGACCTGGAGTATTTTGTCTGTTTATATCAAAGTGGTTCATTTTCACCCTTGGTTTGATTCATTTGTGTAGCTATGAACAAAGTAATTGCACTTAGGTCCAGACCAAACAAACCGGATAGTCTTGGTACAGTTTTATCTGGACTCCAGAGCAATTCGTTTACAGTGTGAACGTAACATAACCTTGATCTTCACCAACTAACAGGTCTGCATTACAAGTTTGAGCTAAAAAACATGCCTCGCATGCTTTACATTCTCGATGTGGATAGGTACTGTAGATGTGCAAAGGACTGTATGTAGCCATCTAATGAACGTACATTCGCCGTGTTCTTCAATAGTTAAGAACTCACCAACTTCTTCCTCTATTTACTTTTGTTGCTCCCACTCCAGGCACATCTGCCCTGTGAGCAGACTGAACATTGTCATGTGGTTTGTAGTAATGAGTTTACAAACTCATTAACATCTGTTGTTGTGATTTGATTGTAAAAATAAAACTGAATTGAATTGAATCCGTTTGAGGTAACGTGATTTACTCCGGTTGTAGAAAAGACACAAAGGCTAAAATGGTGTTAAGGAATCTGCAGGACTTACGAACACACAGTTCTCCACTTTCATAGAAGCCTGGACAACACTGAGAGCGTCGTCTGTACATGGTCCTTACACCTCTCCTATAGGCGGTCTTGTAGCTGATCCTGTGCAGGTGACATAAACACAGTAAAGGTATTAATGTTAAAAGATGTGTGGCGCTGACCACACTGATGTCTAAAACAAAAAATGTAAGCTTGCAGTGAATTATTTTCACAACAACAGAAAATGATCGTGTGAATGCACTTTCACCAGAACATCCCACAACAAGCCTTTGAACATGTCATCACTCAGCATTGTCACTCAAAGGTCGCTTAAGAACACAGTAGTCACTGCACTTATAAAGGATGAGCAGCACTTAAATGTTTAGGGGAGTTTCTCCACTCGTTCAAGGACAAGGATGTTTTCTAATATTTCAGTTTAAGCTAAACGAATCAGCTCTTAGATAAACTAAACTAGTGGCTACAAAGCTTGATGTGGTCATCATGGGGCGATCATGGCTCAAGAGTTGGCAGTTTGTCTTGTAACCAGAAGGTTGCCGGTTCGAGCCCCGGCTTGGACAGTCCTGGTCGTTGTGTCCTTGGGCAAGACACTTCACCTACCGCCTACTGGTGATGGCCAGAGGGGCCGATGGCGCGATATGGCAGCCTTGCTTCTGTCAGTCTGCCCCAGGGCAGCTGTTTCTACACCTGTAGCTGCCTCCACCAGTGTGTGAATGTGAGAGTGAATGAATAGTGATATTGTAAAGTGCTTTGAGGGCCCCGAAAAGCGCTATATAAATCCAATCCATTATTATTATTATTATTATCGAAGCTGATATGCCAACAGTTGCTCATCAGAATGACATCAGAATGTTGGGAAGTAACAGAATACATGTACCGACGTTACGTATTTACAATAATATGAGTAACTGTATTGTGTTACAGTTACCGTTTAAAAGGGTGATCATTAGAATACAGTTACTTTGTTGAAATAAGTGGATTACAAGGTGTTCTTGTCCGTTTCCTATGTTAGGCTATCCTCTGTCTAATTTTGGTAATTTCACGCACTGCCGTAAACCCAAACAAAACACAAAATAAGAGGCTCTAATGCAAGCTTCCTGTTAATTTTGGTGGCGTCAGGTACACAATAGACCCGGCGCCCGCACAACAGAGCCAGCAGTGCACGGGCAGGAATGCATTTCTTACTGACCGTGCAATGCAAACTCTGTTTGTCAGCAACCGAGCTGCTCTCAGCATCAAGAGACTATGACTATATACTGTATATATAAGTAGATGTGATATCTACTCATATCTAAAATGTGTTTTATATATAAAGCCATAAAGTAATGAGGTATTGACCAATGACTTAAAATGCAGCTGTTAGAAATGTACATGAGAAGTTTAAGTAATGCAGTGTTGCTGTATTTTATTTCAGTGAAAAACTAAATATCATATTTTCAATTTAAGTTGTTTCCAGCTGTAGTGGCTGTTGAATATACCTAAAGCAAACGAGGAGTGCCATTTAAACGAGCCAAACTACGTTCACTTTATTTTTGGAGATACTGATCTCACGGTTTATGGTGACCACACTTGGCAGATTTTTCACATAATACCAGATATTTCAGATAAGTTCATATATCTCACTGAAATGTTACTCTGTAGCTGATTGTGTCAGTCTGTCAGTTTAAACCCGTTTTTTAGAAAACATATAAAGTCTCTTTGATTCTGACTGTGCTGTCGTGTTGCTACAGCAAAGATAACTGTCACATCTAAGGTGTGTAGCATAGCATAAATCCTGTTGAATGTAAATAAAACACTTGAATGTGTTACTATTATTACTTACCAGCAGAGATGTAACGCGTTACTGTAATCCGATTACTTTTTTCAAGTAACGAGTAAGGGATTACTATTGCAAAAACGGTAATTAGATTATCGTTACTTTCCGTAGGAACGCTGCGTTACTGCGTTACTAAAACCGTGATTTTTTTGCGAGAATGTGGATCATATAT